ATGACTTTTTATATCAAAGCAAATTAGAATGTTATCGAGTTTTAATGCAAAGTATTAAAAGTCAAATTTGTATGAAAAGATCGATCCTTTTTTGTCGCCTACGGTTTCACACTGATTATACTCCCTGCGCATGCGCTAATCGCCTTAAAAACTGGAAAAAATCGCGTGCTTTAAAGGTTGTAAATTTGATGTAAATATGTGATGTAAGTGTCCAAAATGATGTAAACTTGATGTGAATCATTTACATCAAATCTATATCAAATTTAAATCATTTTAGAAACTTTCATCATATTTACATCAAATTTACAACCTTTTAAAGTGCGCGATTTTTTCCAAAAATGCTAAATCGATCATGGACTTTCTAATATCAGAAAAATGCATATTAATTATATTCTCGTTATTGACCTGTTTTCTAGTGAATAATTGACGAGAAGCATTTCACTACCAGTTAAGACTACTAAAAGGTTTAATTATCATCTCATGAATTTAAAATGCTCATTTACCGACAAAACGCACCAAGCACAGTACATTTGTTGTCTTCTGGTTCAATAACTTGACCGAAAAGACCGTTAGACCAAAACGACCCTAGCTAATACTATGTCAATTCCTTGGTTTCATTTTGCTTGATACACGCTATTTAGTTTTACTGGCTCTCGACATTAACCCGTGAAATACACTACATAGTCGTTATTTTGAAAGATTTTATTTATCTTTTTGACGCATTGAAATCGATTAGACGTCGACTAATAAATACACTTTGTTTCACGGGTTTAAGCACTTGAGCTCACGTAATTATTGCGTCTACGTTACTGCATCACAAACAGATCATATTTYCATGCAATATTAATTATCGCGTGAAACTAACGTTTTAAAGCTCCTCTTATTTGTCGGAAACATTTCACGGTTTGAWGGTTTGCACTTTACTTGATCGCACTTCATTTTCGACGGGTAACTGAGTGACCACTTAAAACGTTTTTTCGTTCTAACGTTAGTAACCCGTTGTACCTGCAAATATTCGTTTATCTGTGATTAACGAATACCTTGACTAATGTCACCTCRAGTAATTACATCACAATTTACTAGCTGCTGTCGGAGCTCAACGTCCGCCGTTTTTTTCCTCGTCGTCATTGATTGTGAGTACATTTTGTGTTTTTAAACTCTGAAAGCAAAAACCTAACTTATTACTATATATGTATCACTTTGTTGTGRTGGAAATGCTTAACCGTGAAATCTGTCAAAACGCAGCGTTTTTGTTGCGGTTTACATCTAAAACCAAAGATCTGTCTGTMAGTTTTCTTCGAGGATTTGTATCTCTTTCCCTAACTTGCGAATGGAGTTAGTCTTGGAAAAGATAACGCGTTAAGTTTTATCAATCTAGATAATGCGTTTRCATGGCGTARTCTTGGAGCAAAATTTAGCACAAAGTCGCGCAACGTAAACGTAAACGTAAACCCACAAATTTCCGTCCACAAGTTGCGTTTTCACTCAATCTAATCTACAAAAATGTTTGAAAATGCAAATGTAACAGTCCATGATATTGGTGTAACTGTAGTTTTTTTCTTATCAATTCAAGGTTTACTTGGATTCTAATCAATAGGCAAGTAGGTTCTCTGAATTGAAGGAAACATGGTGGTCAAGGTAAGACAGGGATTTATCTGTGCTGAAACTGATCATCTCGTTTGAGTCAAGTCAGCTCGTATAACATGAGCTTAGTATAGATTCTTCACAAATCAATTTTTTTTACACATAATAAGACAATATTACAGTTAATAGCTTTTCCTTTTTTGCAGATCACAAGTCGCGGTTTATTGGCATATATGGTGGTAATAACTTTGCTGGTTCAGATCAACTCTCTACATCTCAAAAACCAAACACTCACGCGACGCAAGTCTATACATTTAAAAAACCAAACATTCACACGCAACAACTCGACTCTACATTTCAACAACCAAACACTCGCACA